CAATTTCCTTTGTATACCTTTTTGATTTCTGACAAAGGGGGAGAAAGTATAATGATTTCGATATGCCTAAATCTAAGAATCTCGATCCCAAATATAATTGAATATGTTTTACTTCTAATCTTATTTGAGAATTTCTTAGGAACTTCGTAAAAGTTCATTGTATGTTAGAACAGGTTATCAGAAGACAAGACACATAAGAATATATGATCTATTATCAGAAGAGACAAGACATATAAGAAGCTATGATATATCAGAAATACATAATTCGCATTTGATAAATTATCAGAAGATATGTTCAAGAAAGGAAGTACTTTAAAAGTTAATATACTCAGAAGTCATTGAACAAGAAAGAAGAATGCTAAGCAAGCTTGATTTGATAATATATGAATATCTGGTGTTGACCACTAAGTTATCAAAAACAAAGGATATCCATGAGTTTCGCGCTGATACCCATAACTTGTAAGAAGTTGTTCACTTTCTGAAAGAATGATTCAATTGGTATCTAAAATTCAAATGGTATCTAAACTTCAAATGGAATCTAGACTCCAGCATTAAAAGAATGTTAATCTTTCGGAGATCAAATCAAGTCATGGTTATTGAAGAAAATATTTTGTTTCTGAACCATCAAATGACATGAGAATATGTGCACCTGTTGGTGATCTATGATAAGATACTTAAGATTTGGTTTTGATACATGATGTGTGGCATCTAAGAAAGTATCTACCATTTTCTGATATATAATGCAAGACATCAAGTCTGATAAGACAAATCAGGTTATGATACATCTACAGTTTTCTGATAGCAAACCAAGTTTTGAGATGAAGACCAGGCAGTTCTAGTCAGATTCTGATGAGACGTCTATGGAGAAGTATTCCTTTAATTGGTACTTAAAAGTCATTTTGTGAGTCTTGGGATCAGGGGAGACTCTGAAAAAACATAAATGAATTTTGAGAATAACAGAATTAGGGGAGCCCGTTAAGCTTATCTCTGACTTTGTGGATTTATGGTGATTACCCTATACGAATTTTCTATCAAAATGCATTGTTTGTCGTCATCAAAAAGGGGGAGATTGTAAGAGCAAGATTTGGTTCTACATTTGGCCTTTGAGTTTTGATGATAACTTCACATGTTATATAAGATAACAATTCTGTATGATATGATTTCTGTCTAGTGTGTGGCTGTTGTCAATATGATTCTAACTCTGATAAGAAGGCGTGTGACATCATCAGACTCTATTATCAACACTATGGAAAGAAAATATATAATGTGTACAAGATAAAGCCAAGATTCAGAAATACTTCTAATGCAACTGTTCTAAGGAATGTTAGTAATAAGGTTTCTAATTGAGACTTTATAAGTAAGCCTATAAGGCTTTCTAATGTGATGTGCTTCTAATGTTACAAGTTCTGAAGATTTCGAAGACGTGATTCAGGTAAACATGGTTCTGAAGATTTTAAAGACACAATATCTGAAGATCAAGTTCTGAAGAGTTTTTGAAGACACGGTTCAGGTGGACGAAATACTGAAGACAAGAATGTGCTAATGAATTCTGAAGACTCTGAAGACAAGGTTTTGAAGGAACAGGTTCTGAAGACTCTGAAGATATTACTTCTAAAAGAACAAGTGTTGAAGATTCTCAGGATAGTTCTGCTGAACAAAGATCTTGAAATTCTGAAAACTGGGTTTCTGAAGTTGAAAATAATTGAATCTTCTGAAACATGCTTCATCAACGTTTCATTTGAAGTCACTAAAGACATTAGAAAGATTGAAGATAAGAATGATTTTGAGCTGAACACAAGAATACAAAAATTGTGACCTCTACCTCAATAAGGTGGCGCAAAAGCAACTTTTTGTACAGTGATGTTGACCATTCCTTTATGTGAATGTTGGGATATTGTTGTTGGAATATGATTCCAAGAATGCCCCTCAATGGATCTATTCTCTCAGGCTCTATAAATTGAAGATCAAGAAGCTTGAAGAATTGTTGGTTGCTAGTGATAGCACGACGCCATGCAAAGCCAAAGTGCTGAAGAAAATGCTACAAGCTGAAGCTTAAATGAAGAATGCTCAATGAAGAAGAAGTTGAAGCAAACTACTGAAGTGTGTACAACGATGAATATGCTAAAGCCATGTGAAACTAGTCAAGTGAAACATCAATAAGTGAAGCATAGTAACTTAGTTGATCTTGATGGTTAAATTGGAAGAAGCATTATATGCTCAAGAAAGAAGTTCATCAAAAGAAACTTAAAGCTCATGAAAAGAAGTCGTGGTGCTCAATAAGAAAGCTTTTAAGCAATACAAGACTAGTGTGCTATATAATCTCTTAGAGATTTATCATTAGATAGTTTTGTATTAGAAAGTAAGGAGTTTCTGCCCAAGAACTTGCTAGAAACACTTAGGTGTCCAGGTACCTCATTTGTGTAATCAACTTGTAAGAAGCATATTAGTGCACAAGAAAATTCTTGTAAAATGTGTTGTTCCTTGAGCGATTAAGTTGCTATCTAGGTTGCTTGAGAGGGCCAGGTCGTTTTTTAACGGCTTGGAGGTTGATTACTTGAGAGGCTAGTCAGAGTCAGGATTCTTAAGAAGGCAATGGAAGGTATCCATTGTGGTTGTAATCGTTGATGATTTTCTTGAGCGACTAAGTGAAAGCGAGGATGCTTGAGAGGGCTAAGTGTGTTGTTTAACAGCTTAAAGGTTGTAATTATTTTGATGATTATTAGATTAAGTCATTGTCTAAGGCGAAACCATCAAAGATGGTGGACTGGAGTAGCTTCGTTAATAGTGAACCAAGATAAAAATAAGAGTGTTCATTTATTCTTGTTTACTTGTTAACATCATTAGTTTAATTCCGCAAAAGTGGATGGAATATAAAATTCAATTCAAACCCCCTTTCCCCGTGTTTCTCAACCTTCAGATATTACATAAACAAACTCATGAAGGATGTCACTTAATCAAATGAGTGAACGACATAACAGATATCTATTTGGTAAAGTACGAATTACTCCAAGAGTCTAAGTATCATCAAAAGGCATGTGTGGATAAGAACTTCTTAGCAGAAAATTCAAAAGGGAAAACTTTGGGTCATGATGAATTCAGGTGTTTACCATGACTCATATTTCTTTTTTTCTTTTTTTAATATTTATTTGTGATATATTTTATGATATTTTAGTGCCTCATATGTCTATAGTGTTTGTTGATTGAATATTACTCTAAATTATAGGACTAATCAAGGTAGACATTGCTTTAGTCACCCGTGTTCATGCTATTGTGGTTGGTTAGGTTTATCCAAGATAATCAAAGAAATATTCATGTTGATGTTGAATTCGATGTTATAAAAAAACATCCCCATCTAATGAGTTACTAACTTGCCTCGTCCTGGTCCATGGTATTTTCTAGGTTTATTTTGTGTTTTTAATTTATGTCTTAAAATTTAATTTTATATTAGATTAGTTGTTGCATTAAGAAAAATTATTTGTCGCATTAAGAAAAATTATTTGTGGCTTTACCTTATTAATGTAATTTTGAGTTTTATTTCTCAATTGTACCATCTAATTCATAATTTTTTTTTATATTACATTAATACTAATTCAAATACACTCATATTTGATAAGAAGAATTTAATAAAATTATTATTCTCTTTATTATTCGTTACATTTTATTAATGTTTGTGAAAGTGTCAAATGTGACACTTATTTTAGAACGGAGTACAATGTTTTAAAACTTCTATCGGTGATCGATTCTATCAAACTTTTGAGTCACTGATTTATTGGTCGAACAATTAGATCACTGGTCGGACCACATAAGTTATATATATATATATATATATATATATATATATATATATATATATATATATATATATATATATATATATATATATATATATATATATATATATATATATATATAAGGAGCATATCAAATGAGAGTGATTTTAAATGAGAGATTAGAGTAACAAACAACAACCTTTAGATCAAATTAATAAGAAAGATGAAATTAATAGTCATATTAATAAATAAGTTTAATCATGATCTAAAAGTTGTTGTTTGTTCCTCTCATCTCTCATTTTAAAATCCCTCTCACTTAATATGATCTCATATATATATATATATATATATATATATATATATATATATATATATATATATATATATATATATATATATATATATATATATATATATATATATATATATATATATATATATATATATATATATATATATATATATATATATATGAAATAAAATTCTTGACATAAATTTCATAACTATAAAATTAATAAAAGAAAATTCTATAAATTTATTTAGTTGAATAACAGTTTTAAATAAAATTTTAATTTCAAACATACCAATTAATTGATGTTTAAAATTAACAAAAATCGAAAAAATAGTTGTATGATATAATAATATCATAAATAAATAAATATTATATTCTATATAAATAATTAAAAATAAAAGTTAAAATAGAAAAATAAAAATCTATAATTAAAAGAGTTAGTAAAATCAATGTGACTTTTAGTTAAAAATAATAATGAGATTTATATTAAAAATAATGTGAAAATTTAATTCCATCTTTTTTTGATAATATAAGTTTTTTTTTTTCAAATAATGAGATTCTTACTGAAAATATAATTCTTTTTTCTTTGATAATATATTTTTTTCTAAATTTTTGTTAATTTATAGTATTAATATATCATATAATTATTTTTTTAACTTTTTAAATTTATAATATTATTATATTATATAGTAATAATAAATAAGTTCAATAAAAATGCATTAGAGAAAACTATTGAGAGAAAAACACCCAAAACCTAGAATCCTATAGTTCTCAAATCACCATTTTGCACCGTTCCGATTGTTTTTTATCGTCACCGGAAGAGACAGAGAACACTATTGAACTCCTCTCCTCAAGACCTTTCGTTTCATCCTAGCTCCTCCACCGTCCCGTCGGCGCTTCCACCGTCGTCCTTCTTCCGTTGCGGTTCTGTGAAATCGATGCAGGGTCCTTCTCAGAGATGGGGCTACATTCGAATCATGTCTGGCACAATCTTCGGAGGCATCCTCGGTTTCTATGTTATGCATCGTGTTGAGATCACTTACAAGGTTAGCATTCATGTTTTCTCTCTCTAGCTTCATGAAATTTCATTGATTTTTGATGATACCCAGTTGCATAATCTGAAACCCTTTTAATTTTGTGGAAAAAGATTTGATCTTTTTAGTGTTTGGAATGTGGGTTGATTGATTGCAGGAGAAAATGAATGAAAGGCTGAGAAATTATGAAGCTGAATTGAAAAGAAAGAGGGAAGAGAAACTTAATGAGTTTGAGATTGAGGAATCATCTAAGTTTTGAACTTTCATTCCATATTGTAACATTTCTCTATCTGCTTTCAATTGTTCAATTACCATAAGCAGTGGCAGCTTCTGCATTTATAGTGAAATTGTGGAAGGTGTTAGTTAAACCTTCCACCTAAGCTCTATTGTGCTCTATGAAAAAGTGATGCATAGAATATCAATATGGATTTTTTGCTTGAGTATAATGGTGAACTGGTGATTCAATGTGTTTCAATCAGTTTATTTTGTGAAAGAATGAAATTGCTGCTGAAATGAGAGTTGTTTTGGCTTGTTGTTGAGTTGAGTCATACTATGAGTTTCTTGGCTTGTTGAGTTGTTTTTTCATGACTTGAAACATGAGACATGAATAAGTATGTTTTTGAATTCAATCATGATAGAAGAAAGTGACACTATGGCAATGTGAAATCTAGACCCTTAGCAGATAAAAGAGTGGAAGAGTATTGTTAGGATAGAAAATAGAGATTATGATGTTTAAATGATGATGACACTATGCATTCTTGCTTTGTACCTCATCTTATGTTTCCATTTTGCAATACTTTTTTTTGTTGTTGGTATGTTCTATCATTATCTATAAGGGAAAATTCCACTCCTCCTCGCATTGAAGTATCTTAAATGACACTTACTCTTTCTCTAGTTTATGCACTAATTTGATTAAGTTTACATATATTAATATAAGTTTTTAGTAATAGGTAAATAATAGTAGAAAAATGTCATTTATATTTATGATTTTTTATTGTCAATATAAATTAGAGAAGAATGTCAATGTCATTTTAATAGATTTTAGAAGAGGTGGGTGTAATTTTTCCTATACCTAATATGTTAGGTACTTGGTTTGAACCTAAGTTCAACAAATATGTCAAATAAAGGAATGAGTTATATTTGTTGACTGTAGCTAGTTTGTTAGAGGGAAATGATAGTTATATAAAGGATATTTATAGAGGGGAGAAGACATTGAAAATTATTCAATTAGGAATCATATTCGTTTGGGCAAAGAGAGAATAGTTATTGTTATTCTATTAATAATATCATTTATCTTCTTTTGAATATTATGCTCCTAACATTGGTTCGACCTGCTGAATCTTGAATCTCGAGACGGAGTCGGTGAATTATTAAAATTAGATAACTGCTGGAAAATATTGAAAACTATCATGTAATTGTCAGAAACTCTCAGAAACTACCAGATAATTGTCGAAAACTAACGGTTACTGCAAGATAATTGCTAGAAATTGTCAGAAACTACTAAATAACGGTTGAAAACTGGCTGAAATTACTGGATATTATCGGATAACTATAGAAATTTTTTGGTTATTGCTGATAGCTGTCAGATAACTTTTAGAGACTATCAGATAACTACTTGATAACTCCCAAATATTGTCGAAAACTACAAAATAATTGAATAACTACACGGAGAGGAAACGATGGAGGATGTTTGGACTATGAAGAGGGAATTACCATATTTTATAGGGACTATCTTGGGTGGATCTCTCCGGCTGAAAAGTTCTTTGAGAATAACAAAGTTCATTTCGAAGATAAGCTGCAGTGGGCATTCATGAGCATGAAAGATGAATGAGTGATGTTATGTTTTTATTATTGGTGTGAAAAGAATACAAATGTTGATTAAAATTCATTTTCTATGGCTATGATTAGAGAATTTGGAGCACAAATGGTGCAAAATCAATAATCAAAGCCGAAACAATGGAACTATGGAAGGTGGCAGAAACACATGATGAACCAATGTAGAGTTCATTGTTGAACGGGAAGCAAAAGGTTATACAAAAGTTGAATCCGACTCTAAAGAGATTATTGATACAATGATAGAAACAAATTACCGAAAACAGGAAACAAACGTAATGTTTAATGGAAGAATGAATGTGACGCAAAGTAGAAAAGGGCATGTTTGTTGGTGGGCCACCTCCGTTGCAATGCAAACAAATACCGACCTTCATGTGGTGGCTAACGTGATTCAAATAGTCCAGGAGGTTGTCGTCGAACTCCGACCTCCACCAGAACCGCCAAATGCGGATTCACTTACACATATCTCTTCAAACTTTGATATGTAATGAAGAAAAAAAGAGTTCCATGGGTTGCTCAACTTTGTATTTTACAAAGGCCAATTTTTGTGTCAGGGACAAATTTGTTAGCAAGAGATGCAATATCTCAGTCTTTAGGTCAAACTTGTTTTCTAGAGGTGGGTATTGTTAGACATTTGGTTTGGGCCTAAGCCCAACAATTGTGTCAAATATAAGAATGGGTTATATTTGGTGATGTGGCTAGTTGGTTAGAGGGAAATGATAGTTATATAAAGGATAAAAATAACAAGAAGAAATTGAGAATTATTCAATTAGGAACCATATTGGTTTGGGTAGAGAGAGAGTTATCTCTTTTCCGATGAGCTTTGCTCTAGAATTGTAGAGGTTAATCTTCTGTAATAGTTATTGTTATTTTATTAATAATATGATTTTTTTAATATTGAGTTCCTAACATAATATAATCCTCTTCCTTTTCTCTTTCTCCTTCTACCACATTATTCTTCAACTCTTTTTCTCTCCCTCTCAATCTTTATCTTCATGAAAAATAGAGATTTGTAAATCTTAAAGTCACATGAGAAGATGAACTCACACCATTTATGTTGACATCAAGTTATCGATTTAAAGTAATATCCTTCCAGATTCAAGGTATACTATTTCATATCATGCTTCAAAATCGTTTTCATTTGATTTATTTTCTGCGTTCGTGCTTGAAAATGCTTCAAAGTCGTTTTTCCAACAATTTAATGATGTTTCATTGTTTTGGTGTTTTACTTTGTTTTTCACTTTGATTCTTGAACATGGTTGAAGTTTGTGCTTTTAATGATGATTTAAGGGTGTCAGAACACTATTTCTTGAAGATTATTTCTTTGATTCTTGAAAATGGTTGATGGTTTCTTCAATGAAAAAGACATTGCTTGATTTTGTGTGGTTTTACACTATAAAAACAAAAGTTGTGTTAATGGAACCCAAACTTGGTTTCCTGTTTTTTTGCTCTTTATGTGCAATTATGTTTCTTCTTTGATTTTTATATTGATAGTTGTTTTCATGAAGTTAATTTTTTTGTAACTGGATTGTTTTCATTATATAGTGTTTATGTGTAAGGTGTGAGATGAGAGAATTTGGAAGGTTGGTCCTTTAAAATCAGAAGCAAGAGCATATACTTTAATGCCATTGATCGGAAAAAGCCACTGTCAGAACAAATAGAGCTCAGGAGGGACCAAATCATTCGCCGTCCTCTCCACGCATCGCCCTGCCTCACGGTTTCCTGACAATCCGAAGGGGCTCTCTTCCCTTATAGGAACCTTGGGAGGGAAAATCTCAGTTGTTTGCAAAGTCTCACATTGCGCCATCCCCTTGGTGAAGCTAGCGGGATTATACCTGAGTGAATCACACACTCAAAGATACAATAGAGTTTCCACCGAACTTTATTTAGTCCCAAAGGACATAGAAAATATCGATAAAACCCAAGGAAAAGAGAAACGGGAAAGGGGGTCGGTTATGGGAAAGGAAGGTACTAGCACCTTAAGCATCTGTCGTACCCGACGGGAACCATTTCGCTTACTTATAGGCTTGGATGGATTATCCATCTAAAGGCTTCTAGATAAAGAAAAGAAAAGGAGAGGGAGAGAAAGAAAAGAAAGTGCTCGAGGAGGATTAGGGCCCTCATGCCTACGTACTCTCATAGTGCAATGAGGAAGTCAGAGCTTCGTAGTTCAAGGAACCAAGGAAAAGAAAGAAGAGGATTTGGACGGACCAGAAAGGCAGAAGAATGGAAGAAAAGAGAGGAAGGTGGCTCGCCAAGATTTTGCAATCTTGTGCCTACGTACCCTCATAGTGCAATGAGGAAATCAGAGCCTACGTAGTTCGGGGAACTACTGTTGGGAAAGAAAAAGGAAAGAGAGGGCGTTAAAGCCAAGAGCTAAAAGAGAAAGCAAGACCCAACTGGGGAATGCAAAAGGAATGATGTCAAAACCAAGATAAACTCTGCTGAGAAACACAGAGAAGCAAGGCAAAAACTCTGCGGGGAAATGCAGGAGAAAAGAGATAACTCCACAGGGGATAAAACAAGAGAATGACGACAGGGTCGGGGAAAAGAGACAAGAATTAAAGATAAGATCCACAGGGGATTCAGTGCATTAACTGGCAGGCAGTGATTAAACGAAGAAAGATAAGAGTAAAACTTGTGGGGAGAGCAAACAAGGTTAGGTGTCAACAGACGGATTGTGACGAAACAAAAGAAAGAAAGTATTGAATCAAAGAAAGGTGTTTGACTCGGAGAGGAAATCGGTATATTAATTGATAAACAGTGGTTAACCGAAAGGATAAAGGAGCTGGTTTTGACCGATAAATGGTGATCAACCAAAAGAAAGGGTGTGGAACCAAGCAAAGGTTGGGACCCAAGAGACAGGTGTAAAACCAAGCGAAGGTTGTGACCCAAAGGATGGTACACTGACTGAACAAGCAGTACTTGATCGAAGGAAAGGTTATTCGAACCGAATGAAGGTTACTAACCCAAGACTGACAGTATTTGAACCAAAGAAAGGTTGCTAACTACAGGGGGTTTGGTATTTAACAGACGAACTGTGATTAACCGAAAGGAATGAGTGATTAACCAAAAGAAGGTGATTAACTCAAAAAAACTCAGTATCTTAACAGAAGGATTGTGGTTAACTGAGGAAAAGGGTTATTGGTTCAAACAGGCGGACTGTGATTGACCAAAAGGCGGGTGATTAACCAAGAGAAGGTGATTAACCCAAAGAAAAGCTGGTTTTAACGGGTGGACCGTGATCAACCAAAGATAGGGTGATTAGCCGGAAGAAGGCGATTAACCTAGAGAAAAACTCAATATTAACAGACATACCGTGATTAACTGGAGAAAAGAGGATTTAGTGTTTGACTGTTAAACAGTGATGACCCAAACAAGGAGAAAGAACCAAGAGGAGGTTGGAAACTCTGGTGGGGAATAAGT